TTACCTATTGCATGCCATGGATCCTCACTATCCTTCTAATGTAATCCCCCAAGACGGTATAACAATCAACCACTTCGACGCCGACGATTATAAGCACGAACTACTGGAAGGGGTTCGGTTGGCCCAAGAGTGCGCTACAGAACTCAATGAGAAATACAAACAGAAAATGAAAGAGGCCTACGACAAGCGTCATAGGACATACCCACAGAAACCCCCAAGAGTAGGAGAAGGAGTTTTCCTTAAGTTACCAAGAGAAAAATGCGCACAGAAGTTCCCAAAACTGTGTGAGCCATGGGGTGGCCCATATCGCGTAATAGAGACCAGTAAGAACTCAGCGCTTTTGTCGCATATTAACGAAAAAGATGAACCTATAGAGTTCCGTTTGATTCGCTCGTATTATTGCCTCCAGAAATAGGTAACACGCCACAAGAAACAAAGACAAAAAGAGTTAGACGTAGGCAAGCAAAAGCCAATTATGTTTCTTGTAGAGCGACCGTGGGAGGCAACGACAATTCGCCACTCGGTTTCTTTTTCCGTTGCCCTGGATGACTGTATGGACCAGACGGTAGCGGAAGCGACTATAGTTGCAAAATCAAAGAAAAACGTTTCAAAGATGTGATGTCGACAGCTGGAGAAGCTCTTGGAGAAATAAGCTTTGATACCATTTTTAGTCTAGCTCGTCTCATTTCGATTTTTGAAAACGAGCGTAATGATGATCGCAGACGTTTACTGATGATTGACCCTAAGTATCCGTGTATTACTATATCGGGAGCGCAAAAAGCATTCACTTTTTTTAAGCAGCATTGCCATCATGTTTTTCGCAGCCTTGCATTGCACGACGGCTCTCTTTTTGGTCTACCTCACGACGGCGGAACGGGTTTCCCAATCGGAGAATTGAATGAGATGAATAACGAGGGGGTACGGTTCGCAAAGGTGAACTCGTGGATGGACGTAGTCGCTGCAAGGCAAAAAGAGGAAACAACACTGCTGCTGCTGCCCGAAGGATTCCGAGAGATCGACACAATATTGAAGGCGCAGAGCCAAGTAGAGAGGAAAGTGTACTGGAAACTAAGTGAAGTAATCATGTGGCTGGGCACGGCAGGAGCGAATGCGTGTATACTTGTCGGTCCTACATGTGCTGTTTCGCCGCCAAAGAAGTAATGGTGTAAACTGGCATCGGCGATAGCAACAGCGGCTCGTAATGGAATGAAGATTCTGTTGATCGCACCGCCCCGAGGAGACGCAGCGTATGCACAGAATAGGATGGAGCTGAACCAGGCCGCTGAACTTGCAAGAAAATCTGTTGCGCTCATGTCGCGGAATATTGTCAGCCTGATACCGATGATAGAAAGCATACGCGGACCTTCACATGAACCGTCAGCACATCCGAGGCACTCTAATGCCGACGCTTATTCAGCAGAAACAGTGAATGAATATTTGCAGACTCTAAGGGAGTATGTAAAGCCAGAAATCAGTCTTCCTCGTTTCGTCAGGACCTCGACACATCGAAACCAACGTGTACGGAATTACTTCAAAGCCAAGAGAGAAAATCGTTCCAGACAGGAATAAGAGGCACATCCGTATCGAAATGGCAACCGCGCATTCCCATATCCACACGATTGCTCATGTGCACACCAAAGCATAACTGTCAGGCGAGGACCTCTCAGAGGACGGCAAGTGTTTCGTGGTAGAGGGTCGTATTAGCNGATAGGCCCTAATCGATTTGATCTGGGTTTTTGTTCCCCGCGCGGGAAATAGGACTACTTAAGGGGTCGCCACTGCCATTAGGAATCTCCTTTTGTTGTATGTGTTGCGGCGTCACGTCGCCGTTCATTTGTTTTAATTGATTTCATTTTTTTGTGTTTTGCTCGTTCTCGATAAACCATTTGTTTTTTTTTGCGTTTGTGCTGACTATCGCTTGAGGTTCAACCTTTACTACTTGTACTTGCGTGTTTACGTCATATTCTTCTTCTTATTCTTCTTCTTATTCTCTCCTTCTTATTCTCTCCTCCTCATTCTCTCCTTCTTATTCTCTTCTAGAAGATTTTTCAGGACCACGCTGTATGTAGTTTCATTTAGGCCTGATGTAATATTTTTGGAAGAAAAATTGTAAAAAAAATGGAAATATAGATGAATAAAACAAAAAATACAACTGCAGTTCACATGTGGACTGCATGGTCCCACATGGCCGAAACAGTGCAGTCCACATGTGGACTGCATGGTCTCCACGCTTAGTAATCTCAATTGGCGGCGCCGTTGCGCTTATGTCTGGTTCGTTCACTTCGCTTGCTACATGGTAACATGTTATCTTTGGAAAGTCATAAAATGGAGGAACTTCACAAACAGGAAAAACAGCGCAATAAAAGTTAAAGGTGAAAACATGACCTGTGAACTATATGAAGAAAGAAAAGTGGTGGTATGAACAGCAGAAACAAATGAGCATAAACTTTCAAAACTGAAGGAACCCATAATCCAGCACAAGTTTTGAATACTTTGATAAACTTACAAAAAATTATCCAACGATTAGTGATTCCGTCATATTTGATAGCATTATTGTTAGTTCGTGAATACTGCACCCACCCGAAATTGAAGGAAATGGCCGCCCTTAGATTCGGCGTGGAGCCTAGCCCAATGGTTGCAGTCCCATTACCCCTTATATATTAGGTAGTCCCCCATTCATTGATGAGTGAAGCCGTCGCCTCATATGGGAATAACTAATTCGAAAACTCTGTTTCAGCACTTCCTTATTAATACAAGGCTACACGGTCATCAGCCCAAGTTGGGGCGCCAGTTCCCTGTGACATTAATCCAAGAACTGGCCAACCATTTAGACAAACAGATTTGCTTTATCTAGCGAAGCGTGCAAAGATATATTTCGCGCGAACAGCATGAAATGAGAAACTTCTCGAATAAGAACACATGCTCCGTACTATTTTTAGTATACGACATCAAATACCAACTAACTAGACACTGTCAAGCAACTTCTACTCTATATTTACTTTGACAGAGAATAGTAAGTGTAGTTGAATGGAGAATATTGTAAGCACTCAGGGCGAGAACGCTCCTATATGTCTATTGAACCGTTGTTCTCACTACAAAATGAGATATCACATAAATGCTAAGACCGCTACAATGCTTCTTCAGTACTTTCACACTTCACGGCAACTGATCCCATTCAATACATTCAAAACCCGCTTTACGCAATTAAGATAGTATTAAAGGCAAGCGAAATGTTAACAAATGCCGGATTATCCAAAGCGTGACATGCTACACCCTTCATCAGCAGAGCATGGCTTAGATTAATAACGATCAGGTTCCTGATGGCAATATTTCCCAAGTACACATTTTGGTTGCTCAGTCAAGTTACCTCTTTTTTTTTTATTCGCGAATAGGGTACAATATCTAATGCCCACTGTAACAAGAGACCGTCATTATAGCGATGAGTATTCGCCGCGGTGCAAATGCATCCTACTTCAGTTGTGCAAAATATTCTAGCTCATTCTAGGCGCTATTATTGCATCTGTTGGAGCAGTTGTGGATACTCAAAGGCCATACAAAATCACCTACATACAAAAATGTTGGAAAGTGATGGTGATGGAGCAAATGCAAATAAGCATACCCTCAAACCACGTGTTTGACAGACGGAAAGTTTCCTACGCGCATACCGTCGCCCGCTTGCTCGAAAATATTAGAAAGATGTTGAAGATAGTTTCAAGTACTGAAAGGATGGAGTGGTCCACGTAGCACACACAGCAGACATGACGAACACGTTACGACGGGAAATGTGCACAATGTTGGTAAAAACTATGGAATTCCTCACTGAGTTGGACTTTTTGAATGAAACTCCGATGAATCTTTGTATCACAATCATTGAATAATAGTAGGTATACAATGGCCGATGAAATACTAACTTGATCAAGATTGGACAAGCTGTTTGGATCGCTACTGAGACCTTGATATTGACCACGGAGACGGTCTCCGGCAGCTAACTGTCGAAACTTTTGCAAGTCTACCACATAAAGAGCACTGAAAGTAGTTGCACGTCCTATGACTGATGATAAAGAGGAAACGTCTTGGCTGACCTAATGTGATATCTTCTGCCGGCCAAATGGTTCGACCAATATCCTCGTTTCCAGAAACGGAAACCGTCCATCTCCTTACGACTATCGCAGAAAGGTACATAGCTGAAGAAAGCGAAAACAAATTTATAATTCTACACAGTAAATTTCGCAGCACTAATCTTATATAGGAGTTGGAATGCAGAAGCCACTTACCGGATAAGAGAAGCGCTAGTTATATTGGCAGCCCTATTCAGTATTCAGGGAAGAACGCAGGGAAGATAAAAAGGGCGTCCACTTTGATGACCGCAACGAACCGTATTTTTCTGCGTGCGCTCTCTGAATTTAAATGCACGTGCCCAACGCTTCACAATTTTTCTTTGATTTCGTTAGAAAAGAAAGTGCCATGCTGCAGCAAGATAACGCTCAGTCAAATTTTGGTAAACGAACGACAGGGTGAATCGAGCAGCTGGAACATCCGCTATACAGTCCATACGAGGTTTTAGCGGTTTACCTGTAATCGGACTCTAGAGACCGTTATAGACGATCCCCATACGCACATACCAATTGGCCATGTAAAATAACTATGGTGACTTGTACGCGGTAGGGTGGCGGTTTTGAGATTGTTTTTAGATCTCTCTGTTGAACAAGCGAGATGAATGGTTCAGTGGGAATATTTATTCTAACAAACAACGAAATACCCTGATGGCGAGTAGCACAGAACAAGTTGGCCCACAAGCCCCACCCCCAAGGAGCGGATGGGGACCGCGGGATTCAGCCTATGCCAAAACAGCGTGCTTAGCAACAGTAAACCCACCAAAAAAAGTTATAAGGTTTTCGATATGCAAAGGAAGAAGCTCAAGTCGAGGTGGCCGTTTGAAATGAGACCTATACTGCTAGACGTATTTTCGAATGCTGATCTCAAATCTGCTTCAAAAATTCCGAATGAGTTCTGAAGATAGTTATGAGGGTGATTCAATATGAGATCCAAAATAAGCGAACCCAAATTACATAAGTGTAGCGGGTTCGACAGCGGTGGCTTAGAGGGCGTTAGAAGCGAGGGTGACGATTCACGAGCGAGAGACTAAAGCTTTTGTAGATGGCGAGAACTTTGCACGATAAAAAGTTTTCTTTGTAGTCTAGAGCTTCCTTTTGTATTGATTTTATCGCGTTCTACGAATTTTGTACCTTTTGGTGACATCTTCTTTACCCAAAATATGCAAAATATCGTAATTTTTTCAATCGAAGAAATAAATTCGCAGTAGCATGACTTTCACAAATTTACGAAGTGCAAGGAACAAAGAAGTTCATCACAGTTGGAACAACTTAATAGTTACGACTTGTCATATCGCATTGCTTTACAATTACCTACCAGATCAGGGGAAAGCGCCTGCTAGGAGGTGTAGGCGTCTCAAAACCACCCTGATGACTGTTTAAGTAGCCGATTGGTGTCACGAGTAAGAGAGTAATTCTCTAAATCTAACAGTACAGAATTGAAATGGGTAGGCGCTAGTAAGCCAAGTCACGAGTGTATACGCAAAAGTTGAGATGGGATTTGTCACCCATGAGGTGATGATCATATTTTTGAACGGCAACAAGAAAGGAACATCAATGAAGGGCTGTTCTGGCCTTGTGGTACAAGCAGGGATGTTCATCACCTTCACCTGCTCGCAGAGCTACAGCCTCATAGTCTCAAACGTATCCGAGGAGAGTACAAATCAACAATGGAACTGTCACAGCACTACTGCCACTGAAGGAGAATGTAACTGATCTCTCAGATAACTATGCTGTTGCTCTCCATAGATTTGCTACTTTATGGAAACATCTGCAGACCAACGAAGAACAGCAAAAATGATATATGAAAATATGTGAAGAGTACATTTCCACAAATGTGGTAGAATACGCTGATGAAGTGAATACGAAAAGCGTTGGCTGGTACTACATGTCACACCTAGGGGTATGGCGCCCTGCAAAACCAAAGCCAATTCGTATAGTATTCGACCTCTTCTCAAAAGGACAACTGTCTTCAAACAACGTTGTTCATACCGGAGAATCGTTTGCGAACAAAATTCACAACACTCTTGTTGCAAGCAGAAAAAGACTGCAAGAAGAACACAAAGACTTCGGCAGATTTTTACGGTACAAGAATGCGAATAATTCACCAACACGTGATAAAATAGTAAAGTACCTCTTCACTCGCTTACCTTTCGGTCTAACGGCATCTTCAAGCAATCTTAACATGGTTATCCTAACCTATCTTGACCACGAAAACACGGATATAATTAGAAAGACCATGGATTACTCAAATGTATATAACATTTTCCTTCGAGCAAACACGGGGGAAGAAGCTCTCAAAAAATACAAGGATTCAAAATTTTCGTGGAGATAGGCATGAACTTGCGTGAATACATATCAAATTCAAGCAAAGTCAACGCCGATATCCCAGAACAAGGTCGTTTGCAGGGAACAAAAATAAAGCTTCTAGGAGAGATATTCAACACGAAAATAGATAAATTCCAAGTGAGCACCCCAGTGGCACAAAAAGATTCAGACGAAACGAGACATTGTGGGCCAGTAAAACTCAATATACGACCCTATCGAACTCACAGAGGCACTGCTCGTAAAATTGAAATCGTCGATGAGAGAAATACATGGCACGGCTTTAAAGTGGACTGATCGTGTACCTGCAGAAGGTGTAGAGATTGCATGCGTATCTGCAAGACAATAACACGCATGCAATCTCCCAACTTACCAGTTGATAGACTCGTCTAACTCCAAAGAAGACAGTCTAAACAATACCACGACTAGAACTACTCGCCTCGCAATTTCAATTGGCATCACTTTGGCAATTTATTGCAAAGCAGATGAGGCTGAAAATTCCATCAGTCACCATCGTGTGTAACACCGAAATAGCGCTAGTGTAGATAAAATTAACAGAAAATTGCCTCCGTTGTTACTCATCAGAGAAAACGCATCTTCCAGATAAAGCAGATAATAGAAGAAGCAGAAGAAACCGTAGTTAATTTCTACTACGAGCCTACCAATTACGATCCAGCAGATGCTAAAAGAGACATCGCATACAATTAAAAACCACGATTGGGTGAGAGGCCCTAGATGGCTCGAAAGTGGCTCGAAGAACTCTCTGTTGAAGGGTCTGGAAAATATGGAAAACGTCGACGGTTTGAATTGGGAAGAGCCAGGTCAATCCAAAATGATCATTTTATCATGTATCGATTCCCAACGATCTATTTCTATTGATCGATACAACACGATTCTCGAGGTACACACGAGTACCTCAAAATGCGTGCGTAGATGTAATCAAAAAAGGCCAACTTCTATGGCTACAGCGAACCTTACAACCTTCTCCAAAAGAATGGAAATCTGCTCGGACGATATAATGAGCGCAGAAAGAATGTTAGTCTTGGGGCATCGTGGTGTGCGAAACAGAAGAGCTGTGAAAGCGCTTTCATCGTATAAATATAGTTCGCGATGAAAATGAGGTGATTCGATATGAATCAAGAATTCACAGTGGGAAGCTGCCTCACGATACCAGATCGCCAATCTACATACCAAATGACCCGGATCTAACTCGCCTGATAACAACAAAGATTCTTTGCGAAAGCGCTCACTATGGCAAAGATCACGTGCCTCCATCAACAAGACACAAGTAATGGCTCCCACAGCCATCGAGAGTGATAAAAAAAAATACCTCAAGGGTCGCCTGATGTGCAAACAGTATCATGGTCTTCCGTTTGGAGCCCTTTAGATGCTAACCTGATGTGAGTCAAATACGGAGTAGTAATAATGGAACCAATTCAAACAGTTGGCTGCGACTTCATGGGCTCATTCGACTCGAAGGAAAAGACAAAAATGTGCGTGTGCTTATACACGTGTCTGAACACAAGAGCGGTACATTTGGACATCGTCGAAAAATGACAGCGGTCCATTTTTCTTCGACAGCTTGGTTCGGTTCGTGTCAAAATGAGGCGTAAAAGAGCTAGTACGCACAGACTGCCGAACAACGTTCAAGCTTGGACAAGAAGTCATCAACAATGTGTATCGAAATAAAGACACATAGATGGCTATTCTGTAATGTCCTACAGCTCTTCCGAGGGCATAAAATGGATTTCCAGCTCTCCAAGCGCTCCATGGATGGAAGGCGTATGGGAAAGATTGATTGGAACGATGTTTTTCGAGAGCGATTGGTCGCAAAAACCAATATTTATCGAAATGACCACCGCCATTACTCGAATTGAGGCGAACATCAATACCAGACCTGTTACGAAAGTTAGCAAAACAGATCTCAATGAAATACCGCTAAGACTGGTTGACTTCCTTCAAGGAAATTTAAAATTTGCCCTACCACAAGCATCTCGAAATAGTGATCATTCCATAGTGATTTTGATCCAGCACTCATACAATCTGTATCACAGGCAAATTGAGCGATCACTTTCTCCCGAACAATTGCGGCTAAGTTCTGGGAGAAGTGGAAAACAAAATACCTTACAACCATGCGTGACAACCACACAAAGCATATAAAACAACCCAGACACATCTACCCCGAATACTCACAGTTATGAGAGATTGTGATCGTTGAACAACAATTCCTTCCCACAGGAAACTTGTTTGATGGAAAAATAGTAGATCTCATCGAAAGTTCGGACGGAAAAATAAGATCGGCGAGAATAAGAATGCATAACATACTGCATGGGCCTTTGAATCAACTATTTATATCCTCTCGAACTTCATCCCTATGATGAAACAACAGAGGACAGCTTAGCAGAAGGAAGTGCAGCACAATCCAGGTCATGAGAAGGGAATAACATCGAGCAAAGCCTACCGTGACAAAACCGTCACATTCGCTGCAAGCTCGGCGTAGAAAACAAGGGAGAACCTCAAAAACTCGAACGTATGAGGTCATACAAAACTACGAAAGACAGCTTCACAGGCCATCCATTCCAACGAGCATTAACTGTTCAATGTGGACACTAATTATTTTCCTTTTATGTGCTAACAACAGCCTCATTTGTGCAGATTGGTCGGCAATTTTCAACATTCAAAGAACAAGCTCTGAACTCTGTTTCAACCAAGAATGCTGAACAGTTATAAATTTGTGAAAAAAGTCAGTTCTCAAATACCGGCTTCTCCTTTGCACAAGTATCAGTATCAACTCAAGGATCAACTTCACTGAAACTGTAGAATTTCCACCTGCTACATTTTGCGAATACGCTAGCCAAATGATGACAAGCTCCTTCGTAGACAACCCACACTGTTGGCCTATGGGAGCCATAGCTTCTATTGCGATAATAATGTCGCTTTCCTACTAAGCGCTTTACTAATAATACTAATAAGCGTGAAAGAAATAAATCATGTTGTTACTAGAAGGGACACCACACATCAAGCTTTAGAAATCGTGGTCATGAACACATTTGATCCGAGTCCACTGAATGTTTCCACAATAGTAACAACAATGCTAGTTATTTAGCTATGCTGAGCAGTTCACAAGCCGGCCAAAACACGGGCACATGAGACATTCAGTCAACATGGTCTGCAATAACCAAGGGAATTGTTCCGAATGTAATGAAGAGGCTATTCAATCACATCCAATCGGAACTTTGCATTAATGCGAGATATGGAAACAAAACAGTTGGGGTGATCAAAATCTGACAAGAATCCCTCAAGCTTGTGTGCCCCAAAGTGCTACAATTTTTTACAAGTGAAACCAATTACAAAATAAATATTTCCTACAACAAGGCGTGCAAAAGTAGGATCGGGCACAGAAAACCGATGCAACGCCTTTAAATCCCATGAGAACATAGAGTTGCGAGGATCTGGTCAATATTCACAGCACACATGCGGGAACCATAATGCTAATGTTTTCTGCTGTTTAAGGTATGTTCCTTTATAAGGGTGGAACAAATATCCACCACGCAAACTGTGCCCGAAATAGTGAATAGTGAAGAGTGGGTACCACTAGTTGAATTAGGAGTAGAATTCAAAGTTCATAAACTAGCAAAACAGGAAAATCATTCTGATTCCATATATCACTTAATTTTACGAAAAAATCTCTTTCACAGCGGTTCAATACAAAAGCCTTGCACACCCTTCTTCGAACAATGGTTCGCCATCTCTGAGAGAGCAGCGCTGCTATTCCCCAACAACTGTGAGCTGCCTACAAGATGCCCAAAGACAAATATGGCAACGGAGAGCTTTGCTATCGCAGTAATCAAATAATGTGCAACTGCCAAAGCTACAGAACAACACATACTTGCTATTGCCCGAAACAGTCAATAAAGGATATTCGAACGGAAGCAGAAAACAAACCGCCTATACTTATACCATCAGTAGAGTTTGGAATTCGAAGTAGACAGACCCATGCGCATTTGATTAGGAGTGAAATCACCCTCTCTAGCAGATCGGGTCTACTAATCAATAACGCAGAGTTCATAGTTGGGCAAAAATGTTCCATGGAATTAAGCATTGTGATTGGATGTTACAATTGTCAAGAAGGAGCAGAAGTCATAGCACCCTGCACAACAGCGATAGAAACTGTCGCAACCATTCAATGCGAGAACGTAGCATTCACTGCTGAATGCTATCCTTTCAACAAAACCACTGAGATCGCACTCGACTGAGCAACTCTCTTATTGCGCAGAAATGCTTCGTAATATGCGACAAAAAAGAAATGCCATTGAAACTAAATGGTCGGCTATACTACCATGTGAGATATTTCCTCCCACCATGCTTGACGAGACAACATTGAGGCCATCACATGGTTCTCATTCAATGATTTCTACTTGCCTGACTTGGAACCAATCGCACGCATTGTCAAAGAAAAACGGAAATAATAGTAGCAGCATTGGCTGTGATTGCAGCAGCATTAGGAGCCACCTACACGCTCGGGCCACTTGTTGTTATAACAATATTAAAAGTAAATTCACTCTACAGTAAAGATCGTAACGAATATAGCCAACAGTGGTCGCAGAGAATACATTAACTAGCATACCAACCACGGCTCCGGTATCAACTCGAATACTGCGCCACTGAACTCACCGGAACGCTAACTGTTTAATTCGCTTAGTTGTTACAAGAAGATGTACAGAACAAAAGGCATTGATGAGGAAGAGCACAAGAAGATGTACATAAAAAAAGTCATTGAACATGTACAGAGCAAAAAAAAA